ATGTGGTCTTTCACTGCTAAAAAGCCTGCACAAACACAGTATTGACCTTATTTCAAAAAACACCTTTGTGAAACAGACAAAAGTTCTCTCTGAGTGACTACTATGATGTCCTGCTGACTATAGCCTTGAAATGCTCCTTACTACAATAATAAATGTGTAACTAGGCAGGTGAAATGTGATTTAGGCTGCAGCCAACGTAAAGGACAGAAGGAAACATTAATACAACAAAAATCTCATTTCAAACTTCTGTGCTTTCATCTACTGTAGCAGCTTACAGAAAGGTAAAACTGGCTTGTTATGGGTCAGATGTGATTCAAAGGCATAAGTTACCTGCAATCCAGAACAAAGCACAAAAAAATAAATGCAGATGTATGAAAAATATTTGTAGGTTTAAAAGTAGAATAAGGCATATAGCTGAATGTTAAAATCCAGAAGCTATCCCTTTAAAATTATCACAGCATGTTCACTCAGGGACAAGTCCATGATTTGGGATACAAGCTTATGCAAGATTCAGTAATAATTCAAGTCTAACTGTATGAAATTGCTCATTTCACAACATGGAACTCTGCAGGAAGGTAACTGTCATCCAATTTCCATAGCTACTGATAAAGACAAAGTTTCTCTCTTGAGGACCATACTAGTCGAATTTTGACAGATATCACTATACTGAATCTAGCAAGGGATGCAAAGAAAAATAAGAATGGCTTTTACAGGCACATTGGCCAGAAAAGGAAGATTAAAGAAAATGCACCCCCTGTGGCAAATAAGACAGAAGAGCTGGTAATAACAGACATGGAGCAGGCTGAGGTACTCGGCAATTTTGTTGCCTCAATTTTCAACGGTAATCTCTCTTCCCACAGCTCTCAAGTCCCTGAAATTCCGGGCAGTGACTGGTGGAATGAAGTCCCTTCCACTGTAGGAGAAGATCAGGTTCAAGACCACCAAAGGAACCTGAACATACCCATGTCCATGGGACTCAGTGAGATGCATCCCAGGGTCCTGAGGGAATTGGCTGATGTAGTTGCCAAGCCACTCTCCATCCAGAGGGACCTGGACAAGCTCAAGAAGTGGGCTCATGTGTACCCCATGAGGTTCAACAAGGCCAAGTGCAAAGTCCTGCACTTGAGTCAGGGCAACTCCCAAGATCAGTACAGACTGAGGGATGAAGGAATTGAGAGCAGCCCTGCAGAGGATGACTTGGGGATACTGGTGGTTGAAAAACTGGACATGAGTTGGCAATGTGCGCTCACAGCCCAGAAAGCCAACCGTATCCTGGGCTGCACAAAATCAGCATGGCCAGCAGGTCAAGGGAGGGGATTGTCCCCCTTTACTCCGCTCTTCTGAGACCCCACCTGGAGTACTGTGTCCAGCTCAGGGGTCTCCAGCTGAAGAATGACAAGGACCTGATAGAGCCAGTACAGAGGAGGGCCACAAAAATGGAACACCCCTCCTGTGAATAAAGCCTGAGCTGGCGTTGTTCAGCCTGGAGAAGAGAAGGCTGCAAGGAGACCTTATTGTATATACCTTATTGTATATACCTTTCAATATATAAGGGGGGCTTATAAGAACAATGGAGAGAGACTTTTTGCCAGGGACAACAGTTTTAAACTGAAAGAGTGTAGGTTTAGACTGGACATAAGGAAGAACTTTGTTATGATGAGGGTGATGAGACACTGGAACAGGTTGCCCAGAGAAGTTGTGGATGCCCCATCCCTGGAAG